ATTTCCCTTCATCCTATCCTACCCCCCCATTTATTCTATTCTCTTTTTTGACCCTGTCCCTCCTCAGAAGTGTTTGCTTTTGGTTATCCTCTCCCTCAATCTGCCCTCCCCTCTATCAACCCCCTGTTCTCTTGTACTCTCCCCCCCTTATTTTCCTGTAGAGTAAGATAGATTTCCATACCCCATTGTGTGTTATTCCCTCCTTATGCCAAATCCTATGAGAATAAGATTCACTCATTCCCTCTAACCTTCCCCCATTTCCCCTCCACTGTAAAAGCCTTTTCTTGTCTGTTTCATGTGAGATATTTTACTTCATTCTACTTCTCCCTTTCTCCTTCTCCCAGTATAATCTTCTCCCTCCCTTTAATTTTATTTTCCAGATATCAACCTTTTATCTTCAACTCACCCTGTGTCCTCCATCTATCTATCTATACAAACAAGCAATTTTTTCCCTCCCACTACCCTAATACTGACAAAGGACTCAGAAGTTACAAATATCATCTTTCCCTGCAGGAATGTAAACAGTTCAACCTTAGTAAGTCCCTTATGATTTCTCTTTCCTGTTTACATTTTCCATGTTTCACTAGAGTCTTGTATTTGAAGGTCAAATTTTCTATTCAGCTCTGGGTCTTTTCCACAGGAATGCTTGAAAGTCCTCCATTTCATTGAATGACCATTTTTTTCACCCTGAAGGATTATGCTCAGTTTTGCTGGGTAGGTGATTCTAGCTTGTAGTCCTAATTCCTTTGCCCTCCGGAATATCATACTCCATGTCCCATGGACCCTTAATATAGAAGCTGCTAAATCTTGTGTTATCCTGATTGTGTTTCCACAATACTTGAATTGTTTCCTTCTGGCTGCTTGCAATATCTTCTCCTTGACCTGGGAATTCTGGGATTTGGCTACAACATTCCTAGGAGTTGTCCTTTGGGGATCTCTTTCAGGAGGTGATAGGTGAATTCTTTCAATTTCTGTTTTGCCCTCTGGTTCTAAAATATCAGGGCAGTTTTCCTTGATAATTTCTTGAAAGATGATATCTAGGCTCTTTTTTTGATCATGGCTTTCAGATAGTCCAATAATTTTTAAGTTCTCTCTCCTGGATCTATTTTCCAGGTCAGTTGTTTTTCCAATGAGATATTTCATGTTCTGTTCTATTTTTTCATTCCTTTTGATTAGTATTACGGTGCCTTGATTTCTCAAATTGCCCCTATCTTCCAATTTCTCCATTCTAATTTTTAAGGAAGTATTTTCTTCAGTAAGCTTTTGGACTTCCTCTTCCATTTGGTTAATTTTGCTTTTAAAGGCATTCTTCTCCTCATTGGCTTTTTGGACCTCTTTTGCCATTTGGGTTAGGCTAATTTTAAGGTGTTATTTTCTTAAGTATTTTTTTTTTTTGGTCTACATTAGCATCACTCTCAGTTTTTCCTCTACATCTCTTACTTGCTTCTCAAAATCCTTTCTGAGCTCTTCCATGGCTTGGGACCATTTCATATTTTTTCTTGAAAGCTTTGGGTGTAGGAGCTTTGGCTTTGTTGTCTTCTTCTGGTTGTATGTTTTGATCTTCTTTGTCATCAAAGTGAGATAACATAGTCTGACTCTTTTTGTGCTGCTTGCTCATGATCCCAGTCAATTACTTGAGTTATAAACTCCTTGTTAAGGTAGGAGTCTGTTTCCAGTGTGGAGAATGTACTGTCTGAAGCTTCAGGGGTTTTGTGCAGCTGTGTTCAGAGATACTTCTAGAGACCTGTAAATTTTCAGTTCTTCCAAGGTGATATGATCAAAGGTGAGGTGTTTACTCCTTTCCTGGCCTGTGCTCTGGTCTATGAGCACTCTTTTCTGTCTTGATTTCCCCCCCTTTTTTTTTGGTGAGGTAATTGGGGTTAAGTGACTTGCCCAGAGTCACACAGTTAGTAAGTGTCAAGTGTCTGAGGCCAGATTTGAACTCAGGTCCTCCTGACTCCAAGGCCAGAGCTTTATCGACTGTGCCATCTAGCTGCCCCCCACTCTTTTCTGTCTTGGAACTGTGAGGAGGGGTTTCCTCTCCACAGCCACTACAAGCTCCACCACACCAATGCTCCTCCTTGCCCAGGACCCCACCCAGAACTGTGAGCCAGATCCAAGCATGGGCAAAGCAAGAGAATCCTGCACCAGCAGAAAGATCCCCACAATCCCCCTCTGATCAGCCACTTGATTCCCCCTGATTCTGTGGGCAGGAAGCTTAGGAGGCAGCTGTTGCCCCGACCGAGCTCAGGGACTAGAGCTGAGACCATAGATTTCTCTCTCTCCCTGCTGACACAGACTTTTCCCACTGACCTTCTAAGTTGTCTTTGGCTTTGGTGGGTTAAGAAGTGTGGAAATGACAGCTGCCCATGATTCAGTCCTGTGAGGCCTGCTCCAGGGTCGTGGCCTGTGTGCCCATGCCGAACTGTGCTACTCTCCCAGCCCTGCATGATATACGTTTCCAATTAACCATTCAGCCTGTCTTGGTCTGGAAATTTGTTTCGCTCTTTCTTTTTGTGGGTTCTGCTGCTTTAGAATTTGTTTAGAGCCATTTTTTATGGGTATTTGGAGGGGTTTGGGGGAGGACTCATGCAAGTCACTGCTTTTACTCCACCATCTTGGCTCCACCCCCCTTGATGTGATTCTTATAGAACCACACCACACTGTTACTTGCATCTTCTGTTTTATTAAATGGCTTTGATTCCATATTCTATATATTGCTGCTTAAAAATCTCAGTGCTCTGTGTATTAATATTGGCCTCTTCATACAAATCACATTTTCCCTCCTTTGTTAAATTACTTTCTTCTGTTTCTTTAGACATCTCTTATCCCTCCTGGGATGACTTCTTCTAAAACATTTTCGTTAAAGGGATCCCACCTATATTTTCCCTGAACCCACTGAAATCAGCTTTCCAAAAATCTAGAGTACATATTGGACTTTGCTCACTTTTTTTCTTTTCTGGTATGTATTGATCACTTTCCACCAAGGTTCCCATGATTTCCATCCCAACCCCAAATTTCTCTCTATTAGTGAGTGAGAATCAGATGCAGGATAAAATTTCTCCTTATTTGTTTCTATATTTTTTGCAGGATGAAATATTCTTAAGATAAAATAAGATGTTATGAGATGATCTGCCTTTGGAAAAGGACTCCAGCAGATGTGTGGATAATTGAAGCCCTTAACATCACTATGTCTTAGCTCTGTGTCAGGCTTGTGATCTATTTTCCCATTTTAGTAAGTAAATCAATTCTAATTCTCCTTCCTTTGATTTCACTCAAAATCTCTATTAAATATCCCACTGCCCTGTTTCCTAATTCTGCATATATTGACATAGGAACTATCTGCAAAGAGATGAAAATTGAACTCATGAAAACTGATACAATTACAAAAGAGAGCTCATGAAGAGAGAAAAGAAAATCACTCTAGAGAGAGCCGATGCATAGGGGATGGGTGATGAAGAATTACCCAGCTAAAGAGAATGAGAAGTAAGGATATACTGTACGTAGGAGAACTAGGAGAGAGTGGTGTCAGAAAAACCCAGTGAGAAGGGACTATCAAAGGCTGAAGCATAATTTTGGTATCAAATGCTGAAGAAAGGTCAAGTAGAATGATGATTGACCAAAAACCCCACATCATTGGGTTTAGCAGATAAGAGATTTTTGGCATCCTTGGAGAAAGAAGTTTTTTTGGATGATACAATCAGAAGCCAGAATACAAAAGGTTGAGTCTTCAGTTGTTTGTGAGGAAACTGAATAAAGGGGAGTAGACATTCGTTTCTAGGAATTTCTCAATGAAAAAGAGGAAATTAATAGGACAATAGTTTTAGTAGACGGCAGAGTCAACTGGTTTTGGTTTTTGTTTTTCTTTTTTTAGTTTGAATGAGTTGGTGCTATTATAAATAGCAGGGAAGGAGGAAGCAAATAAAGAGAGAATGAAAATAAAATAAAGAGACTGAAAGATTGAGAGGGTAAATTCTCAGAGGCATCAAGGTATCCTAGTAGATAAAGAGCTAGACCCAAAGTTAGGAACACCTCAGTTCAAATCTGACCTCAGACACTTAACTTGGTGTATGATAGTGATCATATCACTTAACCTTTGCTGCCTCAGTTTGTTCCTGTAGAAAATGGGCCTAATAATAGCACTCCAGGATATTATGAAGATAAAATGAGACAAGATTTGTAAGGCACTTTGTAAACCTTAAGGTGCTATGTGAATGATGATGGTGATGATTATATAAGATGAAAAGCACAATTGGATAAGTTAATTTTGTCTATATCTCTTTATCTGAAATAGGGGTAAAGGAAGAGAGAAAAGGGCATAACAAAGGGGAATAACAAAGAGGGGCTGGCTGTTCAAAGGGGATGGCATCTATTTCCAATAAGATGAAGGGGAAATGAAGTGTCATAGAAGGTTGTACAAGACAAAATATTTTTGGAATATTGGAGTAAGGAGTATTGTTAAGGAGTAAATCTAGGTTGAAAATGGGTGAAGCAGAATATACAATGGAAAGACAGGATGTCATAATTCAAGAGAATTCACAGTTTTGCCTCAGAGTGGGAACAATTAGGAATGATGGTCAAATAAAGGGTAGGGCTATGTCCATGTTTGGTGAGGTGTAATGAGGATGAAGTATGAGGTGAAGAAGATGAAGTAAAGAAGGTTAAGAAACTGTTTAGAAATGTAAGCTCATTAATAAGCTTAAAAAGTATAATGGATTTTGCTTCTCAGTTTATGTGTTACAAAATCATAATTATAACACTGGTATTATTGCATTAAGTTTAACGCACATTAAAAAAAATAATTTGTATATAAGAGAAGTTCCATTTCCTAATTAAAAAAAGATTCTATACATCCCCCAAAATATTGACCACTGACCATGATTTGTTATGTATTTTTCTCTTGACCCAGGTGATTCACAAAATCCCTAAAGATATATATGGAGAATGGCTCAGAGGTGAAAGAGTTCATCCTTGTAGGATTAACAGATAACCCAGAGCTTCAAGTTCCCCTCTTCATAATGTTCATGGTCATCTACCTCATCACTCTGGTGGGGAACCTGGGAATGGTGGTGATTATCTCTTGGGACTCTCGTCTCCACACACCCATGTACTTTTTCCTCAGGAACCTCTCTCTGGTGGATTTTGGCTACTCGACAGCCATTACTCCTAAAGTGATGACTGGGTTCCTTACGGGCAACAAAATCATCTCCTACAATGGTTGTGCTGCACAAATGTTCTTCTTTGTGGCATTTGCCACTGTTGAAAGTTATCTCCTGGCTGCTATGGCTTATGATCGCCATGTAGCTGTGTGTAAGCCCCTCCATTACACCAGCAACATGACATCTAGTGTGTGTGCTGGTCTAGTCATTGGCTCCTATTTCTGTGGTTTTCTGAACTCTTCTATTCACATGGGACACACCTTCAGCCTCCACTTTTGCAGTTCCAATGTGGTTCCTCACTTTTTCTGTGATATTCCCCCACTCTTGGCTCTCTCCTGCTCTGACACACACATCAGGGAATTAGTGGTTTTCTTTGTTGTGGGGTTCAATGTCTTTTTTGCCATTTTCATTATATTGTTATCCTATTTATTCATTTTCATTGCCATCTTGAGAATGCGTTCAGCTGAAGGCCGCCAGAAAGCCTTCTCCACCTTTGCTTCTCACCTCACAGCAGTGTCTATATTCTATGGGACAATCATCTTCATGTATTTACAACCCAGTTCGAGTCATTCCATGGACACAGACAAAATGGCATCAGTGTTTTACACCATGGTCATCCCCATGCTAAACCCTCTCATCTACAGCTTGAGGAACAAGGAAGTTAAGAGTGCTTTCAGGAAAATTGTTGAGGGTACGCAGTGTTCATTAGGTCTCTAATTTTAATTAAAGAAAGAAACCCATAGGGATTTTTCTCTCTCATTTCAATTTTTAGAATACAACATCTCTAATTCTCACACCCTAATTATATCCTATGAATCACGGGACCTAAATTCTTTCTCTCCATCCTGAACCTCGAGAGTGTTTGCTCTAATTGGCTTCCAACATTTGATTGTCATCTGCTATTTTTAGAAATTTGGGGAATCTGAATATTTCCTCACAACTGCAGCCCTCATTTGAGGATCCTTTTTGAAATTAAAAAAAGTCTGTTGATCTTTTTAAAGGAGCTTTAAAAAATTCTGATAAGAGCAAGAGATATGGCATGGTTTAATGGAAATAGCCCTTGTGAGTCTGCCACTTGCACTCTGCATTACCCTAAGCAAGTCACTGTTAAGTGACTTAGGGATCATCATCTGTGTAATAATTAACTCAAAAGATTCCTGAAAATTCTGGTAGAAAATAAAACTATTTTCCTCTCTGAGCTTTTGCATTTGGGGATGGCTTCAGGGTTGTGACTTGGCATGGAGTAGACCCATAGAATTCCCAATGGAATTCTCAATTCTTCTGTTGATGCAGACTGAAAACTCCTGAGTAATTTATAATCTTATTCTTGTTCATTATTTTGTTCAGTCTCAAGTGTTTGTAAAATGAAAATAAAGATCCTAAATCACCTGGACTTCTATCCAAATATATCTCAATTTTTTGGGGGGTTTGTCTTCTATAGTTTTATTAATTAAGAAATTCACTATAACTTAGAATTAAAACAATACAATCAATGAATCTGAAAGTTGGAAATTACCTCAGTGACAGTATATTCTTACCCATACCCAAATGGAATAAGCACTGTAATATTTTTGACAAGGAATCATCTAAAGAGAGGGAAGTCCCTGACTTTTGAGACCCGTCTTCTTTCGATTCAGCTCCAGTGACTAGTAAGTTCTTATTGATATAAAACCTTAATTTGCCTCATCACTCCCACTTCAATATCTGGTTGCTTTCCTTTAGATGCTCTTCAACTTATCAATGTCTTGTTGCACCAAGACTGAATACAATGCTGTCCTAGGTGGAGATTCTTTCTTCATGCCTTTCTTCTTCTCTTTTTAAAGTTAGTCTAATTGGAGGAGATAAAACAGCCTCTTTAGCCTTGCAGATATCAGATTCACAATTTATGCCTAAATTGAATCCTTCCTCTCCCAAGAATCTATACATTTTTATATTAAAACTCATATGATGTTAGATTTGTGTGTGTTAGTACCCTTATTGCCTACCACAATTCTTGATACGTAGTAGGTGCGTAATAGATGCTTTTTCTTTGGTTTGTTGATTTGTTTAATGTTTTCTGATTTTGATTCTTTTAAGTAACGGACTTCATCTTTCCAGGAGAACTTTACTATATTTGGTTTAACAAAAGCATCATTGTAGCATGGCAGAAAATTATGTAAATTATCATTAAATGCTCAATACCATGTGAACTTTTTAAATTTACTAATTTATTGTAAATGGAACAAAGCATATTTTAACAGTGCCTATCCTCTATGAGCAATCAGGACAATGGACAGGGAAAGCTTCTTATTAATACAATAGTTCACCCACTAGTGCCTTTCTGCCCTGGGCCCTTCTTATATAGGAGGCTTCATTCTATTTTTCTGCCCAATTACCCCACCTACTTGGTCACATATTATTCTTTTTTGCTCAGGCTGTTGTGTCAACCTAAAGATCATTAATTTGTAGGGTGCACTTTTTACTATAAATGAAATTAAGATAATTGTTTTCACACCTAAAACTATCAGTCTTTGAAACAGCTCAGAATTCAAGGACTTAGATGAGTGGTAGGAGCCAATAATGGGAGATATAGACCAGGCACAAGTTAAGAACAGGAGTTTCATCAACAAGGCAGAGGGGGGATGGATCAGATAATGGGAGATGAGGTAAAGTTTTTGAGTGACAAATTGATCTTTAAGAACTGGAGTTTAGAGCATTAAAAAGGGCAGGATTGTGATACTATCAGAAATGAGATTATAATGCTATCAGAACTGAGAGATGAAATTCAAATTGGAAAGCTCAAGTGAACAACAATTAATATTGTGTTTTACATATATTCCCTATTTAGTCTCACAGCACTCTTATTAGTCAAATACTAGAGATAGTATAAATTCCGTTTTACGGCTCAGCTCACTGAGAGTTGGAGAGGTGAAAAAACTTGCTCACAATCACACATTTAGTACCACTACCACGATTCTCCTGACTCCATGTGAACATTTATTCCTCTGAACTGTGATTTCTCTTAAATAGTAGTAGTGGTAGTAGTGGTGGTAGTAGTCATCATTCTGAGTTAGCATTGATATATCACTTTAAGGTACATAAAACACTTTAAAAATTTTAACTATTTTATCTTTACAACTTTGTGAGGTATGTGCTATTATACCCATTTTCCAGATGAGAAAATTAAAGCAAAAAGACATTAAATGACTTGCCCAGGGTCACACAGTTAGTAAATATCTGAGGTAAGATTTGAATGCAAGTCTTCCTGACTCCAAGATCTGTCCTCTATCTACTGTATGAGAGAGGTCAAAGGAAATGTATGTATATCTATGTATGTATGTTTGTATGTGTATGTATATATGCACATGTATACATGAATGCATGTGCACATGCATATGTGTATGCATGTGTGCATATATAGATATATCTATCTATATAGATATACATACATACATACATACATACATATCAAGAATGCTGATAAAGGGAGAAAGCTGTCAGAGACCATCACTTGTAAGATATCTTGGACTTTTAAGGATCACACCTTAAACCCAGATCACTGTGGCTATCATTGATTGGCCTACAATAGGTCACAGACCAAGCCTTACTTGGACATTGTTTGGGCCCTGATTGTCTCAAAGTGAATGTAAATAGCAATTATTTCTGTTTTGGCCAGAAACCTTGAGATCTTCCCCTCACAGTTTGATTTTTTTTGAACTAGCTAAAAGAGGCTATTCTCTGCCTCACTGAGTGAGTGTTGCCTCAGTCAAATTGATACCTGTTAAAGACTTTAGCTTAAAAAGGCCAAGGTCTTATGAACACGATTACAAAGCACTTTTCTCACAAATTAAGTCAGATCTAAATAATTAGGAAAACATCAGTTTCTCATAGGTGTACCAAGCTAATAGAATAAAAATGACAACTCTGCCTAAGCTAATTTACTTATTCAGCAACATGCTAATCAAACTACCAAAAATTATTTTATAGAACTAGAAAAACTAATAACAAAATTCATCTGGAAGAACAAAAGGTCCAGAACATCAAGTAAATTAATGAAAAGAAATGCTAGGGAAGATGGCCTAGCCATACCAGATCTTAAATTGTATTATAAAACACCAATCATCAAAACTACTTGATACTGGCTAAGAAATAGAATGGTAGATCAGTGGAATAGGTTAGGTATACAAGACACAACAGTCAATGACTATAGTAACCTATTGTTTGATAAACCCAAAGGCCCCAGCTTCTGGGATAAGAAATCACTAACAAAAACTGCTGAGAAAACTGGAAACTAGTATGGCAGAAACTGGGTATAGACCAACATCTTACACCCTACACCAAGATAAAGTCAAAATGGGTATAGGATTTAGATATAAAGACTGATACTATAAGCAAACTAGGAGAGCAAGGAACAGTTTACCTTTCAGACCTGTGGAGAAGGGAAGAATTTATGACCAAAAAAGAGATAGAAAACATTATGAAATGCAAAATGGACCACTTTGATTACATTAAATTGAAAAGTTTTTGCACAAATAATACCAGTGTATTAGGAGGGAATTAAAAAACTGGGAAATAACTTTAATAAGCAGTGTCTCTGATAAAGGTCTCATTTATAAAATACATGGAGAGCTGAGTCCAATTTATAAGAATACAAGTCATACCTCAACTGATAAATGGTCAAAAAATATGAACATGCAGTTTTCAGAGAAGAAATTAAAGCATCTATAATCATATGAAAAAATGTTCTAAGTAATTATTGATTAGAAGAATGCAAATCAAAATGACTGAAATACCACATCACACCTATCAGACTGGCTAACATGGGAAAACAGAACAATGATAAATGTTGGAGAAGATGTGGGAAAATTGGAACACTAATGCATTGTTGGTGGGGTTGTGAACTGATCCAACCATTCTGGAGAGTAATTTGGAAAGATGTCCAAAGGGGTACAAAATTATGCATACTCAGGAATCCCACTTCTAGGTCTATAGCCCAAGAAGATCATAAAAATGGGAAAAGGACCCACATGTGCAAAAATATTTATAGCAGCTCTCATTTTTATGGCAAAAAATTGTAAATTGAGGCAATGCCCATCAATTGGGGAGTGGTTGAACAAGTTGTGTTATCTGAATGTAATTGATGATATGAATGTATAGTGCTATAAGAAATGATGAGCGGGAGGACTTCAGAGAAACCTGGAAAGACTCATATGAACTGATGCTGAGTGGAATGAACAGGAGAACATTGTACACAATGACAGCCACATTGTGGGATGAATGACTTTGAAAGACTTGGCTCTTCTTAGCAATGCAAGGATCTAAGACAACTACAAAAGACTCACGATGGAAAATACTAGCCACATCCAGAGAAAGAACTCTGGAGTCAGAATGCAGATGGAAGCATGCTCTCCTTTTCCTTCATTGCTTTGTTTTCTTGCTGCATTCTTGCGATTCTTACATCAGTTCTAACTGTTCTTTACATCATGACTAATGAGAAAGTATGCTTAATACGAATGTATGAGTAAAGCCTATAGCAGATTGCATGCTGTCTTGGGAGGGGAGGAGAGGGAGGGGGAGGAAATTTAAAACTTAAAATCTTATGGAAGTGAATGTTCAAAGCTAAAAATAAATAAATTAATTATTTAAAAAAAGTCCAAGGTCTTCCATTGCATCCAAGGCCATCTCCAGTCATCCTGCTCTATATCTTGCCACTGGACCCAGATGGGTCCATAGAAGAA